CGTAATCAAAATATGAATTCATCATCATCTATACCACCATTAGCTGTCCAAAGAGTTAAAGTTACATTTAAAGATGAACCAGGAGAAGGAAGTGGTGTTGCAAGAAGTTTTTATTCATCAATTGTTGAAGTAAGTTAAATTTAATAAGCTATTCTATGGATATTAATTAAAATAATGATGTAAGACCAACATATTTTTCATGTTTTTTATTTTATGTGATGTCAAAGATTGAACTCAAATTTAAACAATAGTTTGAATAGCCTCTCAGGTGGACTACAGGTTTCTGAAAAACTTTTTCTCACAGTCCATCAATAAAACTTCAATATGAAATGCATTTGATAGAATACTTCATTGGCTATTTCATAACTACTGTTGAAATTTAAGTTAAATGCTTGAAATCGTAAAATAAAAAATACGTTGGTCTTATATTTTTGACCAGTAGTATAAGAAACATTTCCACCTGTTCGTTCGCTTTTGAGCCGAAATCTTAATGTATCTTGTAGTCTTCAGCGTATTCTGGCATCCATAAAAAGAGTTCTGTCCAGGTGGTAAATTTGGACAGAAAATGGATTTTGAAACAACATTTACCTTTCTCTGGCAGAAAATGAAAAAGAATTTCATACGAGATGAGCAGGCCTCAAGGAAAAGAGAGGTCGGATCACAATGAGTTTCGTTCTTTCTACCGAATTTTTAGCCTTTCACAGTCCTAAAAATATTAATAACTCTATTCGTGTCCATGGTTTGTTTCTGAGGAGTTCGATTTCTAGAACGAAGTTTACAGAATAAATAAATATCATTCTAATTAGAAATTTGTAATAGAAATCGCAATATATAGTTAACAGATATATATCTTGAGAATCTTTTAACTTTATTCAGATTGATACTAAAATTCTTTTCTTACAATAAATAAACTCTCTATCATAATAGGCAATCTTATCTGAAGAAAAATTACCTGTACTTGAATTGGGTACATATGGTGCTTCATCAGCTGCTCAATCAACATCAAATTCTTTATCATCACATGCTCAACGACAACAACGTCCATCACGTGAACGTCGTACAACATTAGCAACATATTTACGTAGTGATCGACGTTCATCATCAATGCTTCTTTCATCAGAAGCACGTCCATTTAAATTTACATTATCATCAACTGATACATCAACAACAACAACAAATAATAATAATAATAATAATAATAATTCTGAAACAAATATAAATGAACATTGGACACCAAGTAAAATAAAATTAGGTGTTAGTATTTATCCAAAAGTAGCAGCTATTCAACCATTTCATGCTGAAAAAATTACTGGAATGTTACTTGAAGGTTTACCAACACCACAATTACAACGTATTATTAATATAGATGAAGATTTAAGAATTAAAGTTGAAGAAGCTATGAATATATTAACATCACATAGCACACGTGATGGACAACAAAATGATTCATTAACAACAACAAATGAACGTTTATTAACAAATAAAAATTCATTATTTGATAAACAACCAAATGAATATACACCATTATTTTGGCAACCAGATAAAAAAGGTGTTTATGCACCAAGACCAGGAAAATATACATCAGAACGTTTAACAGCTTATCGAAATGTTGGAAGGTAAAAAACAAAAAAACAATTCTAAATTTTATTTCACGAGAAGAAAAAAAAAACGATTCTTATTTTTAGATTAATTGGTTTATGTTTATTACAAAATGAACTTTTTCCATTGCCATTATGTCGTCATGTGATAAAATATATTTTAAATCGACCAATACGTTGGCATGATTTAGCTTTTTTTGATTCAACTATGTATGAAAATTTACGTCGAACTGCATATGATGCAGAAAAAAATGGACCACAATATATAAATGATCTTCATTTAACATTTTCAATGACCGTTACAGAAAAAGAGGTTAGTAGTTGAATTATTTCTCTTATATCCAATTACTTACAATTTGTGCTTTTTGTATTTAATGAAAAATTAAAAATATTTTGTTGTTCTTTTGAAACTATTTAATAGAATGATTCTATAAGTTCTGATTTTTTTTTTCTTAGGGAGGTGAAACATATGATCTTGTTCCAGATGGTTCATTAAAAGATGTAACATATTCTAATCTTTATGAATTTGTTAAACGTTATGCTGAATTTCGAATGATTACACTTGTTGAACAATCTCTTCAAGTAAATAAATATTTTATTATAAATCTTAAAAAAAAAAATGATTTTTAATTTTCTTTTTTCTAGCATTTACGTTTGGGTGTATTTGATGTATTACCATCGACATCACTTGATTATTTAAGTCCAGAAGATTTTCGACTTCTTTTAAATGGTACTGGTAATATAAATGTAACAACATTAATGACATATACAACATTTAATGATGAAAGTGGTAAGTTAAAATGAAGAGAGAAAAAAAATATTTTTTATTCAAATTATTTTCTTTTTAGGTGAAACTACTGAACGTATTAATCAATTTAAAAAATGGTTTTGGTCTGTATTAGAAAAATTTAATGCTGTCGAAAGACAAGATTTAGTAAGAATAAAATATTTGTTTTTTATTTTTCCTAAGACATAACTTTTTATTTTTTTATTATTTAAAGGTTTATTTTTGGACGGGTAGTCCAGCTTTACCAGCATCAGAAGCTGGTTTTCAACCTCAACCATCAGTTACAATACGTCCAGCTGATGATCAACATTTACCAACAGCAAATACATGTATCAGTCGTTTATATGTTCCGTTATATTCGTCAAAAAATATTTTAAAATTAAAACTTCAATATGCGATAAAAACAAAAATGTTCGGTTTTGTATGAATAAAACCTGATTGACAGTATTTTCTGTATGTTCGCATGTGTGTCTTGTTTCTATTTATTATCCGTATGTGTGTTATATTGATTGTAAAAAGAAAACCAAAAAGAAAAGAAACTAAATCGCGAAAAAAAGAAAAACAATGAACATACATACATATGACATGTGATCTTCATTTTTCTTTTGTTTCTTATAAACTTCTTTGTTTCGATCTGTAGATTGAATATATTTGGGTTTGGATTCTTGAGGAAAAAATAGATTTTGATTTATTGTTTTTTGTAGAAATATCAAAGATTGATATATATATATATATATATATATAGAAATATTCTGATGGTTTACATTATGTAAATCATGATGTTCTTATTAATTCTGAAAGTAAATATGAGATACACGATTGCACATTATTTCAATAAGCAAAAGATTATATTTAAGTACTATCTGATTTTTTTAAGGAAATATTTGGTTATCAAAAAACAGAGGACACAATGAGCAAGTATAAAATCAAGAAGAATGTCCTTGAAAAAAAAGAGGTATCCTGCAACCCGGTCGAACACCCTGTCTTAGATTCCGTCGGGTCCGACCCAAATCTGGATTCGGATCTCATAAATTTCAATCGATCGGGCTTAGGTGCCGAACATGAAAAAAAAATGTCAGATCGAGTCCCGGGCATGACCTCATATTCCGACTCGATCTAACAATTAATGAGACCTCGACGTTCCAAAAATATTTTTTACTTTTTTGATACTACTAATTTATATAAAACAATGAGAGTACAAACCGGTTTGATCATGAGTGAACAATGTATTGTAAATGATGATGAACCATATGATGAAGTAATTAAATACATGAAAAGGAAAATGAATTGTCAAAAAGGTGAACATGTATAATCGTGATAAAAAAAATATTCATGTATGACGTTTGGCACCAATACCGTGTTCCATTTCAGCGTCATCACTTACAAGCAAACGTATATTTAGCGAAATTGATAGGATTTTAGAAGCAAGAAGAGGTCCAGTGAAGTCTGAATCACTCGCTTTTTCGTAAAGTTTGAGATGACATTTTTTTTGTTGCTGCCTATGGAAGAAACTAAATAAGATACTTCTTCATATAAACTAAAAGTTTGAAAACCGTCTAATGACTATGAAAGTATCTACTAGATGTCGATTAACTCCGGTCGAGTATCAGGTACAGCTATGCAGATCTGATTGCAAAAAGACATATCCGTGTCGGATACTATGGGTATCCTCCCTTGATTATCATAATCATCATGTTCGATCTGACATTTTCAATCAGGCTTATTTTAGAAAATAAACTTCTTTACTCTAGTTTTGAAGGAATCAAAAACCATTCTCTGTCTTCCCGCCTTTCTTCAGTTGACTATTTGTGAATATAAAACTGTGCTTTGTTTTGAAAAGTCCTGTGTTTTGATCTCAATGTATGTGAATTTCATGGACGTATATACATTCACCAAATTTTATTACGTCAAAACTTTCGAATTTTCGTTTAATACTTTGATTGTGGATTGTTTAATAACCATTCAAAATATTCTGTTTCCATTTTAAAATATGGGATATAGAGCTAGGTGAAATTTATATTTTTCATATTGTGATTTACCATTACAATCGTTGTTTTAATTAATTAATTGAATTTTTGCATGTAATATATATTGTGGTGTTGTTGCTTTCCTTAATGTGCTCATTAATACCAATCGGAACTGTAAGAACAATATTCAAGTTCAGAGTAGAAAGGTGTTTACCTATAGAAGATGCATGTCCAGCAAAAATCGCTTTGTGCAATCGAAACCTTGGTCAAAATAGGAGTTGTTTACTGTATAACAGACACTATCTATGAAAGTTTTGATCAAATAGTATTCGACTACAATTAATTGTTTGAAACCTTTTTTGTTAAAACATATGAAGACAAAGGAGAACAATGAGAAAGGACTTACGTATACAAGTGCGAAAGATATTGTTTGATGTTTTGGATTCAAAGCATTACAATGATTTTACTCCTAATCAATTTCTGAATAAAAAAAAATTTCTATGAAACAATACTCAACGGTTAACTGCACTTCTATTTAACAATTTCGTTGTGCATTCCAGTATGAGATAAATTTGTATTTTTTTATCAAAAAATGAGTTATAATAATTAGTTTTTGGTTCGTTCAATTTCTTTTTCAAATAGGAAATAATGATGAATAATTATAATTTAACATATCGAATAATTGATACGTTAAGTAAGGGATAATATTCGAGTTTTTTAGTGAATTTTTATGATTAATGTTAGAACGATTCGAGTCAAATGATAAAGATTCTCAATATTGTCAGACTTATTTAATAAATGATGAAAAAGATAAAAATAAAACAAAATATATTTTACGATTAATCGATCTTGAAAATTTAACAAATTTAACTGAATTTATTGTATGATGATAATTTTGTATTCAAATAATTATTTTAGTCTTTTCTTTTTTTTTGTTTGGTTTAGAAAGATATTTCATAATATAAACAATTAAATCATTTTAATTTAATGTCACTTAAAAAGATTGTTTTCTTATTGATACGAAACTTAATCTTATTAAACCTTATACTTCAGTTGGTAAGATTAATATTTAATATTAACTAAAAGAAATATTCATATCATTGTCATACAAACTTCGATAGTATATCAATTAGTACAGTCAATCATTAGACAAGAGGTGTCTCGATAAGCATAAAGAATCGGCTTATATGCATCCTTGACAAGGGTATCTTTGTATTGATATTCCCATTGGTTAGTCCTTCGAATAAATGTCCTTCCTTCAAGTTCACATGAATTGATTTTGATGAAGTGCTTTCGTTTTATTATAAATATCATCGACCTTAATCTTTTTTATTTGCACTCAAAAAGGACAATACAATTAATAAATATTTTTTTGTCCTTAAACTACTATTAAAGCGATCATATTATTCAGCTTGATCTCTCCCCAAGGACGTCTACTCTGTGAATATTTCCTCTAGAATATTTTACTAAAGAATACTTTCCTTGAAGGACATTTATTGCTCAGAGTAACTTTCCGATTAAATTAAAATAAATATAATTTTATTATAGAATAATATCTAGAAGAAGAAAAAAGAAAATCTAATCTTTTCATTTTTAATCAAAAGGTTCTTGTGCCGATCTTCTCAATTCAAATCCATATGGTATATGTGAAGAAATTAATTGCTCATATTATATGGTAAACATTACAAGCTATTCGTTATCTTCAAAATAGACATATAATACATCGGTATATTGAATAATCTTATTCATTTTTAACTCTGTATTGAAATATCCCAAGTGATATTGCTTCAAAAAATATCTATCTTTGTGATAATGACCATGTTTTATTAGATCATTTTTCTCATTGTATATCAATGATATCAACATATGATGGAAAATTACGAAAATAAATACATGATTATACAGATAAACTTAAAGATCAAGTATTATATTTAGCACCAGAAGTTATTTATCAAGTTTGTTTAAAGAAATAAATAAAACTAAAATAATGTTGTTGTTTTTTTTCATTTTCTGATAGAATACAGATGGTTATAATTTTAAAAGTGATATATATATATATATATATATAGTTTAGATATAGTTGCATGTGAACTTGCTAATGGTAATAATACTTATATTAATATGTCTTATGAAAATTTAAGTGAATGAATTTAATAATTTATTCAATGATATTGTATAAAAAGATATATATTTAGATGTTATATGCTAAAATTCAAGATTCAGAACTAATTTTACTTGATCAAGCTCAATTAACAGAAGAAAGTATATATGAAATATTTATTGAATTTATAATTAAATATTTCATTTTTGATAAATTTAGTGATGACACTTAATGATAGTAGTAGTAATAGTTTATATATTGAAGAAATAAAAAAACGAAGATATACAAAAGAATTTCATTTATTTATTAAATCATGTGTATCTACACGTTTTGAATTAAGGTATAAAAAAGAATTTTTTTTTTGTATTAGATGTTCATCTGATGAATTACAAATACATTCTTTTTTTTAAATGTCAAAAAAGATTAAATCATAATCAATATTTACTTTATAATAATATGATTAAATTACTTGAAATTTGTTAGAAAAAAAAATTAATTAATACGAAAATAAAAAATTTTAACGGATTATTTAGTAAATATAAATATATGCATAACGAAGAATAACATTAATACCTATGGGTATTAATTGCTATTACAATACATTTTATGCTGAATGGAAAATAAACTTGAAAAGATACTTTCTCTATTATCTCGATTCCTTTTAGCGCTTACAGCAGCGAAAAAAATTGAACATAAACCTTGTTGAATAATATGGGTACTTACTGTACATCAAATTTAACCGAATATGTAAGGTGTGGAAAAAAAGTTTAACAACAACGTATTTTTGCTTTTTTTTGTATAATGTTAAGCAAATAGTTCAAATCCAGATAGTGATTTTAATAGCCTATGAAATTTTCTTTGACCAAGATGTCATGGATGAACTATGACGGTAACCGAACACGGTAGTTTTTTGACTTCAAAAAATATTTTTTAACAACGTCATTTTAAAGAGTACAACATGGTGAGTCACTGCATTTTCTATGGCCTTTCTTTAAAAAGTTATAAATATCACAAAAAACAAAAAGGAAGCCTTTTTTACGTCTTTTAATAATACTTTTAACATTTCAAGAGAAGATTGTTGAAAATGCGACGACTTCTTATTTTGTACTCTTTAAATGGCATTATTAAAAAAAAACTTTCTGAGACCTGAAAACTACTGTATTCGGTTGCCATCCTAGTTCATCTATGAACTCTTGGTAAAAGAAAACTCTATTAGCTGTTAAAATCATTATCTAGATTGAACCTAGGTACTTAACATCATAGAAAAACAAACAAAACTACGTTGTTGTTAGACTTTTTCTTACTACCTTACTGGCAATGCCACAGGTAGGAGAGCTGAACCTCCAGAAATTTTTTAAAACTGTTGCTAATGTTGGTATCACAGGAGGTCTGAATGAGACTTAGTCTTTCTGATGCTAGTCCTACAAATATGTGTCAAAATCTTGTAAATGATAGGGCTTTTTTCGTTCATATGCAGAACTTTGATCGATTGCTCTTTGTCCTCGATAAATTGAAGCATAATAGCTAGTCTCTTTTTATTGTAAAATGAAAGTTTTCTTCGATAGTAATAAAATCCATTAATGCATTCTAGTTCGCTTTTTTTTGCTTGTTTACACAACATCGTTTATCCATATCATTTAGTTAATAACGTTTAATTTTATTCTCTTTCATCTGATTGATTTTTATAAGTTCGAAATTGCCATTGAATCTAATTAATTTCATTTTTTTAGCTACTTCAACAAATGATACCAATGAAAAACAAAATCTAATCTGAGAATTTTGATATTATCATATCATTAATATACAAAAATAGTAAAATAAACGTTCTATTGTTTATTTTTTGTTCTTTCATCTGTAATGTATGACTACTTTAAAAAAATTAGTTGTTTTTTATTATTGTTCAGATGTATTCTCATCATTAATATCTTGGCGTTGTTTTTTTATTGTTGTAATTTATTCTGATGATATTATTTACATTTTAGATTAAAAGAAAACAAGATTTGCTAAAGATATCGAGAAATCTTGTTTCTAATAAAAATTTGACGAAAATGAAATTCTAATGGTATTTTCAAAACTTATGATCTCTAGAAAATCTGAAATCTAGGTTTTTTCAGTATTCAGATTTCTAAAATAAACGTTTCTTTTGCTGAAAAACTAGGTCTAAGGCTTTCTAGAGAGACTCTAGATGTCTGCAAATACAGTGAAGATTTCATTTTCCTCAAATCTTTGTTAGAAATAAATTTCTCCATCTGTGAAAAGATGTGAACCCCACAAGTGGCTTATTCTAAAGGATAAAGAACTTTGAATACTTAACAGAATGTCGTTTATTGTCAAAATCACACTTTATTTATAGTGATGGAGATAAGTTTAGTACAGTTCTATTCTTAAGTTTTCTTCTCAATGACAGTAGCTAGCAAGAATTTGAAAAAACATTTATGTAGCTGAATGAATTCTCTATCCAACAAAACTGCTTGGATGAGAGTGCAGAAAACCAAGACTCTGCCTTCTATTCGAAGCGCTTGGAAAAAGATTTCATTTGATAGAGCAAATAATTCGTCTCCAACCCTCCTTCATCGAGCTGTAGTCAATTTACAGAAAGTCCAACAAACATATTTCTCTTTCTTTTATTGAAAATTTCAATTTTTTTGTCGTGTTTGACGGTTTGAGGTCTTCTATAAATTGGATGCTGTTCGATAAAGGAAGGTCGAAGACAAATCATGTGTTCTATCAAATAAAATCTTCTCCAAAAAGCTTCGAATCGAAGCCAAAGCCTCGGTTTTTCATAGACCTTCATCAAGCAATTGTGTTGGAGTCTTCAGATTTATCAAACTTAATAGAAAATCCTTTCAGGTGACAAAAAAAATCCATATATCATGAAGAAGTGAAAAGAAAATGAAAGGTACCGTGGTTTTGCAAGTCTTTGCCGAAGAGAAATTACATACTGGCATCAAACAAAAGATCAGAAACGATTAAAACATACAAACGAGTTTTATTCGAGATAATTTTTTATGATTATTAAATATATTTAGTGAAATATAGGCTACATATAAATTTTGTTAAAATGCATATACATATAACTGTACAACATAAACTTAAATTCGAAAGTTCAATAATAAATAATTCCATGTTTTATTGGTTATATTACAATATAAAAATTAAATACATTGAATTTGAAATAAATAAAACACATTGTTGCTTTCTTTCTAAATAAATATTATGACATATGTAATAATGATCTCATTATTGGTAATAATTCATTCATATCTGTTGGTGATAATACTTTTCGTAGATTAAGTCGTAATTGTTTTTCAAGTGTTTGCCAAGATATAAAATGAACAACAAGTTCAATAAATATATATGTAGATTTTTCAAAACCATGTGTTGTTTCCATATATTTCCATAATAATTCTGTATAATAATTTTGTGCACGATATACAGCCATACCATCATTAAGAATTGGTTCATCAAAATCCGAATCTGTTGAAAAACCTTTTGTTAATATGAGTATAATAAGTGCTAATTGAATTATTCTTTGATCATATTGTGCAATACGTACAAATGAATTAAAAATTTTTTTTATTCGCAAATATATTTCATTTCCATGAAATTTTTGTATTACACTTGAATTCCATGGTACATCAGAATCAGTTTCCATAACTTCATCGGTTTCTGTTTTATATGATAATGTACTATTAAGAATATTCAATGGTAAAAGATTATATTTAATTAAAGTAACTTTATCATCAACATTTAATTGATTAAATTCAGGTATTTGTTTGAAAAATGTTAAAAGACGCATTATTGGTACTGAACGAGAATTTATATGTTGTAAAAGAGTTGTTGCATATACAGATGGATCCCATGGGAGACCTTCACGAGCAGCTAAAATAAATTATATAATAAAAGAATTTTTGTTCTACAACTTTGTCCATCAACAGTTCTTGAAGTTATAAGAATCTCCTCAAACTTTCAGCTAAAAAGACTGTTATCTTTTCGAAATATCAAATCCATTTAAAAAAAAACTAGATTTTCCGTTCTATTAGTAGAACATCATGGGTTTTTTTGTCTATGAGCAAAATTTTAGGACAAAATTCATTTGTGAGATTTTTTTATACATATCATGCCGAAGGTAAAAAAATTCAGTGTAACGATCATAAAACCAAAAGGGCAGCGCATAGGGAAGAATCGTTCTAGATTTCTTCTAGTCTTAACAGACTCTAAGTAATAACTGAGGTCCCATCTCGAACGTGAGATAACACTTCGAGAAGTAGCACTGTATGTCAGTAGACGAAAAAGTACTATATGAATTTCGCACATCAATTGAAGCCATCAGTTAGTTTATTGAACAAACTAACTACTCGAAAATCTACAATATAAACGGTGAGTTAATATGAATATTTATTCATACTTGATGGACTATACCGTCTTGCTGAGCAGTACGGAGTATACCAACTATTCATAGGAATAAGTTTTTTTATAGGAATTAATGAGGTAAAGTTGGATCTGATCGGGTCAGAAATTCATGTAACCTATTCATTGTTAGAAATGCAAGAGAAAATAGTTCGAATGAATTGTTTAGAATAGCAAACATATAAATGAATTGATTTCTATTGAATTATTCTACATATTCTGTGAATGTACTAACCGAGTTCAATACGTCGTTTATATGAATTTTGAATAGTTTCTACACGACGTAAATCCTCGTTAGTAAGTAATGTTCGTCGTGCTTGTGATAGTGTTTGTGATTGAAATTGAGTAAAATCGGTTAGATGAAGAAGATTTGTTTCTTTTGATGTCGACAACTATACAAAAATAAAAATAAATAAATCAATTCGATTGATAAGAAATAAAGATTATCTTACATTATCGATAGATGTCGATGGTAATACTTGATGTATTTCATCATTCATCACATGTTTTTGTAATGTTAAAATTCGATTTTGTTCTATTATACAACGTTTTGCTGCTTTTTCTTCAGCCTTAAAAAATAAAATGATTGTGAAAAAACTTTTTTTCTTCTTTCAAATTTTATATTTTAAATCAATACTCTTTGTAATCGTTCAGGTTTCATTCCATTATTAAAACATTTCATTAGACGACATGCTGAACAACGTCGTCGTGTTTCGAGTGTTATCTCACAACCACCTTTACGTCTACATTGTAATGTTGTCTTTAAAATAAGAGATATTTAAAAAAAAACGAGAGATATTCTAGTAATAAACAAAATTTTAAAACTTACGGGATTTTTTAGAGCATTACGACGAAAAAATGCTTTACAACTTTCACATGTAATTGCATCAAAATTATATCCAAGTGCTGGTGAACCACAAATAACACAAGTTAATGAACCATGTTTTGGTCTTCTCTGATTTAGTATTTGTTTTTTTTCTTTTAGCTAAACATATAAAAGATAGAGTTTATTTTCTAGTAAAACAAAAAACAAATTATTTTTTTATTTATTTATTACTGATGAATAAGAAAATTCATTATCATTATCTTTCGATTCAATGATAACTGATTTAATTAATGATAGATTACTATTATTTTGAATTTGTTCAATTATACTTTCATCGCCAGTTATAATCATAATTCGACGTTTTTTTGAGCTTGTCTGTGGTAATGTTTCAAATGCCATAAGTAGAATATAGATTTTCTATACTTTCTAAAAAAAATATATTCAAAATAGATAAAAAAAAAAACTTAATTATAATGATTTTTATCATTTCTAAAACAAATAATTAACTCCTAGATATCAAAAGATAAGATTTCATATGATTGTTTTAGAAATTAGAATCTTAAAAAAGTGAATAAATCACTAAGGAAAGCAAAAAATCGATTTCTTTTAGAACATCAAATTCTAAGATATTCACAACTGAGTTCAGAGATTTTTATTTATGAAAAAAATTTTTCAATTAGATTCATTCGCAAAATTCTCCAGAATTTCTTGACCGACTTCGAATTCTGATTCGAATGAAAAATATCAAACTGGTATTTCTGATACATAATTCACAACATGAATCTTCTAGATTAAAAAACCTCTCTAATAAAATACGCAAAAGCTAAAATAAGAGAGAAAAAAAACGAACAGTATATCAATTGTGCCATTCGATAAAATCTTCATTTATTAGATGCGTATTTTAATCTAGCTGTTAACTGAAATTCTTACTCGATTTTACGTTGTTGTGTTTGTTTATCATTACATTCTAATAGTGTACTAGATTATTCTTTAATTGTTCTTTTTTTACTTTGTTTTTCTTATTGTATTTTATTATGATTTTGTTTTTTCATTCCAAACGTTGCGTAGGTGTCCAATTGTGTGTGTAAAATGTTTGCTGTGTGCTGTCTGTATGTATAAGGATAGATGACACCAGTACAAATTAAATACCTGTGGTTAAATATGGATGACCTACATAGTTAACTAGAAAATATTATTGTTTATCAAAAGAATACTATCTATTGATGTAATCTTATATCATAAGAAGAAATGGAAGGATTTGCTTTTAACAACAAAATTTTTCATTTTTCTAAATGTCATTGAATAAAATGTGCAAAGCTATATTTAATTGATTATAAACTTACAGACTGATATATAGAAAACTAATACTGTAAAAGCTAGAAAAAGACATTCTAATGTATTCGACAAATGAGAAAGACTGGATCAAATGTTCTTTGTTTTTTTTTAACCTAGACAATAATTTTTATTAAATCTTTTACTCATATTGATCTATTACGTCGATTGTATGTTGTAAAAATAGTAAGAGATATTTGTTTCATTTTGATGTCAATGAATTTCCCTGATTGCAACTACTGACATTATTGATTGTCGGTTTTTTTTTGAAAACATAGAATTCTACTTTCTTGATTATATGTAAATTTAACATTTGCTACTTAACAAGATAATAGTCTTAATCGAAGGCTATAAAAAGAGAATAAAGACGTCAGTGAAACTAGAATGAACTTTGCTCAAGATGAAATACTTTTCTCTTTTTCTTCCATATTAACAGTTTGATTGTTTACCAACTGTTACTCTTTAGAAATAAAACGACGTAAGTATAGGTCATTCTGATTGCTTTTTTCAATTAACTCGAAATTTGACATATTAATGACGTCAATAGTCCAACTGTTTATAGAATAAAACTTTTGCTAAAAATATCTGCACACTAAGTTGATGATGCATTATGTTGACAATAATCTTGATAATTAAGATTTGATAGCTCAAGACAGAACGTCTCTAGGTGTCAAATTGCTTTTCCACTAAAACAGTGTTTATTTGATGAGTACTAGTAAATAATAGAAAAGTCTAGAATGGTATGGTTTTCCAGGCCTTTGTTCTTGGGATATCGAAATTTTACTGGGGTTTTTCATTCCTCTCAGGTTATATGAAATCTTGAACTTTATACTTTCCATAAACAAGATTCTTCATGAGATTAGTTGGTTTTACAATTAGTATTTCCTTTCTGAAGATGTGAATATATGAACAAAATTTATTTTCACAATTGAGAGAATTTCGAATATTTAATATCTCAAGATAGAAGATACTAGAAAAGTTACAACTTGTTCAATGAATTCATCTCATTGAGAATGATGTTCATGCAAAGTTTGAAGTTGAAACTCTCACATGACCTGAGGGAAATGAAAAATTCAGTAAAATTTTTATATTCCAATAACGAAGGCTTGAAAGAGAAAACCATTCTAGACTTTTCTATTATTCATTAAATGAACATCGTCTCGATCGAATAGCGATTTGACACTTAGAGAGGTTCGTTCGTAAGCTAATTAATTAAATTTATTAAATATAAAAGAAATTAGATAAGTAAAAGTATAATAAAGATAGGATGAAAATGCTATAAAAGACTATTATGATATATAATGTAATGTTCTGGAAAAAAGTGTAACAACAATGTATTTTTGATTTTTTTTTCTATAATGTTAAGCAATTAACTCAAATTCAGATAGTTATATTAATAGCCAATGAAGTTTTCTTTTACCAAGATTTCTTAGATGAACTATGATGGCAACCAAATACGATAGTTTTCAGATGCTGTTTTAACGAGCACAATATGAGGAATTGCTGCATTCTCTACAATCTTCTCTTAAAAATATAAAAGTATCATAAAAACCGAAACAAAACTCCTGCTTTGATTTTTGTGATACTTAATTTTTTAAGGAAATATTGTAGAAAATGCGGCAATCTCTTATTTTGTGCTCGTTAAAATCGCACCTGAAAACTACTATGTTTGGTTGTCATCATAATTCATTTATGAAATCTTAGTAAAAGAAAATTATATTGGCTATTAAAATCACTATCTGAACTTGAGCTAGATGCTTAAAATTATAGAAAAAAATGTTGTTGTTGTTAAACTTTTCCCATCAATAAACATAAAGGAAATCATTCAGAAAAATGAGATATTTTGTTTTGTTAAACTGTACATGATTGTAGATCTATTCTAACAACGCAAAGTTTTATAGCTAATGATATAGATCTCTAGAATACAGTATCCTGATATGAAGCACACTTTAATTTTATATTAATCAAACGAGTGAAATGCTTACCAACAGACTCATACAATTGAGATTTATGGAAAAATCCTCCAACACTTGAATCTATCTTCCGTAGAATATGATATACTTTGACTGCATCACAAGATTACTATAGATGGAAAACGCTATTCAGTATTGTAAGCTGATTTTTCACATTAACTTGGTGTTTGCTTTCTCCTTGAGCTAAATATCTGCCTTATCTATATTATTAGTCTTATCGTCCTATGTAAAAATGAATGTGAAGATTCGCCAAAAATAACCGAACAAATTCCGGAATAATATAAGTCATGGAAGCTATTCTATTTATATCTTTTTATACTCTATGAACTGGGGTGCAGTATTCTAGAGATCGATATCATTATCTATATAACTTTGTATTCTGTGAATAGATCTACAATCATTTACAGTATAAACAAAATCCAATATTTTATTTTTCTGAATGATTTCTTTTGTGTTTGTTTTTAAAAATAGTATGTATGCTTTTAAAATAAGTATATATTTTGATTTTAATATCATCAATTAATCGATAATTATTTGATATTAAAGTTTATCTAAAATAGCTTTTCTACGATATATAAATATACCTCATTGCGGTTAGGAAAGTAAAATGGTTCATGGTTGTTCAGAGAGACGATAAATTTTATAGAGATGCAACAATAGGAAAGTTCATCAAAATCTAACAACGAAATAGAAATGAACACAGAAGATCTTCAAGCAAAGAAAAGAGTTTGCCGGAAATTTGTCTAGATAAAAAAAAATAAAAAATTTTCTAATGGTATAGAAGACTGAACAAGAAAAGTTAAAAGAACTTTGTTAATATAATAACTGTGAATTTTGCTTCCGAGGACGCTACATGAACTGCAACTCGCAATTTGAGCTAATATTGGACTCCCAAGGAAGTCTCGGTAAGACTAGAAAAAGCCTATAGAGATTCGTGCCCATTGACCTCTGAAGCCGAATTATAATTGTTTTGACTGAATTTTCGACCCATTTTTAGACAGTTACGGAAGCACCCAATGTCAAAATTTCGATCTGAAATTCAACCTATATATAAACCTAATGACTCTCGGGATATCCTGAAAATTTCAACCGAAAAGAATGTTTCTTTGTCCAGATATTTAATTTCCAAATAAACTCGATTTTTGCTGCCAGTGACTATTTGTTGGAAATTCAATATCTCTACATAGGAGTATTCTTTTCGACTGAAACTCTTAGGATATTCCAAGAATCATTAGATCTCTATCTATAAGCTGAATTTCATGTTGAAATTCTATTATTTGATTTTTCCGTAAAAATCTAAAAAATAGATCAAAAATTCAGCAAAACGACTATAGCTTGACCTCAGAGACCCATGGACACGAACTTCTTTATGATTTTTCTAGTCTTACAAAAGATTCCTTGTGGGTTCAACAGGAGCTTCAACAGCGAATTACAGTTTGAGTAGTTCTCTCGTTAGAAAATATTCTAGTGAAACAATTGTTTTTTGCTTAGAATTATTTTCATAAAGCATTTAGAAAAACAATGATCTTTTATTTAACATATAAAATAATTGGCATTTAAATAAAAGCCTTAAGAGTGAGTGTCTGAGAAACCAGCCACTTAAGGACATCAACGATGGTAAGATATATAAGTATTGTCTGTTTTTTTGATATGTTGTAGAAGACAGTGAGTTATGTACTTCCTGAAATTTTTATCCCTTTCTAATGAGTTTTCGAAGTGTAATCATCAAAACATGGATCAGTCATTTTGTTGGTTTTTGAGTATTGTTCATGCGTTTTTTAATATTTTTCATATAAAAATATGCTAAAATGTCGATTGAGTGCATTTGATGCGCCAACACGGGCCAAACCTGAAATTTTTACCACAGACAGCACTCATTGGGATCTATCTGTGGTAAAAATTTCAGGCTTGGTCCATGTTGGCGCATCAAACGCATTCAATCGACATTTTAGCATATTTTCATATGAAAAATATTAAAAAAATGCATGAACAATGCTTGAAAATCAACAAAATGACTGGAGCATGTGTTGACGATTACACCTTGAAAACTCATCAGATAGGGCTAAAAATTTCAGGAAGTACACAATTCACTGT